CAGCCTGTGATCCTTTAACATCTTGTAGCATTCTCATTCCATCACATGTACATGGACAGGTTGCAGAGATTAAGAATGACACTGGACAATTGGTACTTGGTACAGCTTGTAGTGAGGCAGGGAAGGAAGTAGGCTGTGAAGTAGGCCCCACAAGTCCACAAGCATCACAATTCTTAATTGTAACTTTCAAGAAATCCTATTTATGTTGTCAACAACTATATGGGGCTTCTAAACTTAAGTAAGATTTGAAGCTTTGCATGGTGGGAGTGTTACACAAAAAAAGGTTTGCAGGTACACCATGTGGGGAATATCTCTTTTGTGAAAAGGTGTGGTTCTGAAAAGAACCGGTGAGAGCAGGTCTCTCACCGGTTGTACTCCCAAGGCATAAACACATGATGTATGTATATGAAGATATCATATCTTCACTAAAGTTGCATGCTCCCATTGAAATTATGAACAGATAGAGTAATAAAGAAGTTATTAAACCCTACCCAAACAGCACTCCCTCAGGTGTTGTGCCTTGGTACAGTTTGAGTGTTATCATTCATTGATATCAATGAACATGACGCTTTTTACTGATGGCAGCTGGAATACGTTCTGCACGTTATGCATAAGCGTGTGAAGAGAAGTAAAGCAGTCTGGTCCACTGCCAGCTCTTTTCTTGGGGGGTTCTTTTTATTTTCAACAAGCTAACATGAATGCTAATGTAGGACAGATAAAAATCATGGGGTTATATGAAATCGTGGGGTTATATGTAAATGTCCAACACCCACAAAACTACTGACCATCCCTGTGCACGTATTTATCAGAAAAATTATGATACATGTACGCCATGGGTTTACTTGTTGCTGCCATTTTTCTGTTGATCAAAGTGCAATTTTCATGTTGATGTATATTTTCGTATACTTTCATGTTCAATGTGAAAGAAATTTAATTATGATTCTAATGAGTATTGTCATTTTTCCTTAGGCCACGAAAGTAAAAGGCACTGAAATTATTGTCAGGTGTTCCGACAGCTGCGTTGGGAATGATTCTGTACTATTGTACCGATAGAATTCTTGTAACCTAGCCCTAATTTGGAGTGGGCCTACATGTATTCATGTGTATTTTAACACTTGTGGTCACTCCACTTGTGCCACTTGCTTGTCATTGTCTCGGCGGTCCTTAAAAATAAATAGTATCTTACCGGACAAGTGTTCCGCCATTTTAAAATTAAAGACAAAGTAAGACTCGAGTTTAATGACACAGACATAGAAGAGGCAATCTCTTTTTGGAAAATGTGGTGGCTCTGAAAAGAGCCGGTTGGTTATTGTCACGGGCCACACTGCTTATTTAGATGTGGTATACTTGGTGACGGCCTTTGTGCCTTCGCTGACGGCGTGCTTGGCCAGCTCACCGGGCAGGAGCAGACGGACTGCGGTCTGCACCTCACGGCTGGTGATGGTGGACTTCTTGTTGTAGTGGGCCAGACGAGAAGCTTCAGCAGCGATGCGCTCAAAGATGTCGTTGACGAAGCTGTTCATGATGCTCATGGCACGGCTGGAGATGCCGGTGTCGGGGTGCACCTGCTTCATCACCTTGTAGATGTAGATGCCGTAGGTCTCCTTTCTCTTGCGCTTCTTCTTCTTGTCGGTGCGGGGAGCACCCTTGGCCTTGCCGGCCTTCTTCTGTCCCTTTCCGCTTGGCTTAGGTGGCATGATGAAACTCGTAAGCTTCCGTACTCTTGCTAGACTGCGAGAAAATAGAATGACTTTTATGCTACTTCCTCTGTAATTTATACCGTATACGGTATGCAAATCAGGATTCTGGACGGTTCCCGCTAAAATTTACCGCGCAACAACTATGACTAGTGATTGGCTACTTGTTGCACACGGCACTAAAACGTCTGCGCTGTTGACCCGCCCAAGAGTGTTTGCGGACGTTGTATAAGCTATCTGATTTCCCAACAGGCGGATCAATATTCCTGTTCGGTATTTCATTGGCTGTACGAAATCCGCCGAGAACATATAAATAGCGATAAGTGAAATGTTGGTAAATTTTCAAATTCTTTGAATATACACCGAAAAGGTAGTAAACTATCAACATCATCATGTCTGGACGTGGTAAGGGAGGAAAACAACGCGCCAAGGCCAAGAGCCGATCCGCAAGAGCTGGTCTGCAGTTCCCCGTGGGCCGCGTTCACCGCTTCCTGCGCAAAGGCAACTATGCCGAGCGTGTGGGTGCCGGTGCCCCTGTCTACTTGGCGGCTGTCATGGAGTACCTGGCCGCTGAGATCCTGGAGTTGGCCGGCAACGCTGCCCGCGACAACAAGAAGACGAGAATCAACCCCCGTCACTTGCAGCTGGCCATCCGCAACGACGAAGAGCTGAACAAGCTTCTCAGCGGCGTGACCATCGCCCAGGGTGGTGTACTTCCAAACATTCAGGCTGTTCTGCTGCCCAAGAAAACCAGCAAGCCTGCCAAGTAAACGGCGTCTTGCGCCATTATGAACCACATCGGCTCTTTTCAGAGCCACCACAATTTCAAAAAAGAGATGGTTTTCACTGTCTGCATGTGTTGCATATGCACGTTGCATTTTGGATTTTTTCGCTTAGGTTTTGTTTTGTTAGACATGTTACTTTTTAGGCTGATTTTAAGTTTTGTCCTTGTTTTCAACAGTGGACCAGTAGGCCCTAGGCCTATTTCATTTCTTAACTTCAGAAGTGATAATTGCGATAGGAGGGCCATGCATACAGCGTTACGTTAAAACTTGACGACTCCAGGCTTTTTACTAAAATACTAGTTCTTTTGGGTAAACCTTGTGGTCAAATGTTTCAGGATGGGTCAAGGGAATGGTGTTGCGGGAAAGATTGACTTCTTGAAACAGCTCGGGTCCAAATCGTGAATATGCAAGAATACACCTCCAATTTAGTGTTCCGAAGTAGTGTGCCATATCCGGCCCGCAACTTCGAACTCGCGTATAAAAAAAAGAATTACTTTCAAAGAGTAGGCTTACTTCAATTTTTTTTCAATCCTAAAATTCGCCTTGTTTCATCAGATTTAAAATTTTGGTGAGGGTCTCCCCAAATCTTGACACTTCTCCATGCATCCAGGTGCGGATCCGGGGAGGGGTAGGGGGGTCAAACTCCCCCCCCCAATAAAAAAGTTATGTATTGATTCATCATTGTCTCCGCTTGGCCGCAAATAATGAGTTGTTAAGCAATATATCTGGCCTGCCCCTCCCCCCGGAAAATTCCTGGATCCGCCCCTGACATGTGTAGTGCATTTTATGGCATTTCCAAGGAATGATACTCGATTTGGGATCTTTTTAGATCGTAAAACGATTGTAAAAGGAATGGAACAGTCTTTGAAAATCGTCCGTCTCTTATTAAATTACACCCCACCTTTCCCGTTTTAAAACTTATGCTTGGAGGGACCATGGCCCCAATCAGCAAAGCATTCCTACTGTTTACATGTACATGTACTGTTGTACAGACGAATATGTACCTGTACAATGGTGTGTTGATTTTCATATTTTTATTTCCAACGTTCATATTAGAAGGAAAGGTTGAGTATTTTCACGAAGAAGAGAATCACAGATCAAAGTGACTACATGTGTTGCTTTAAAGAAAAGATAGTTTAATGAATAGTTTAATGAATCTTCTTTGATGGAGTGGTTGGCGCGATTCAACCATGCAATGATGCATGGTACGTTGTCCTGGAGGCTGGAGCTGGAAGAGATGCAGAAGCATCAATTATGCATCATCCACTGAAGTATCTTTAGTTTCCAGACTTTGTGTAACATGATCGAAACCCCAACGTGGCGTTGCAGCATTACCTTTTGGACAACTGAACAGTCAATCTTAAGTTCAGTCACAAGTTTAAACAGGGACATAAGACAACACTCAGGTTAGAATAGCTTGTGACTTGAGTTCACAAGGCAAGGAACTTTCTACCGGTATATCCGGCAATATAATGTTAAGTTCTTGATGTGACGTTCTTGTGGAAACTCGACTATCTGAATAATTGTATACGCACTATGAGACGACCCACCCAAGTACGGTTATTTGGGTTGGATTAAATCTTTTCTGTTTGCTAAAACTTTTACCCACTTCAAAATTTAATAATAAGGGGTCAGGTTTAATAGCTGGGTGTGCGTAGTGTATGGACAGAGAGATGTGACTTCGGTCTGGAAATCCAACTTATTCCTGAAGCCGTCATTTGTAAATGAGTCAAGGCTGAATTCAGTTTATCTTTCTCATGCAAAACGGTAAACCCGTGTGAGCCGTTTTGTCGTGTGCGCACCACAGACATAAATAACCCATGTCTAGTGGTGCGCACATCTCAGAAAGGAAAGTGCGCCCTCAACAAAACTTCGTGGAGATGCCGATGTGGTATTTCTCGGAGTTAGTACACTGTACATGTACATTGTACAAGACTAGTGGACTGTGTACTTTAGAGATTATGAATTTCGTTTGTGAAGCACAGGGAAAGTCTATGTAAAACGTCTTCAACACCACCCTCTCCACTGTTAAATTTTACAGCGTTTCACGAAGTGCATCACGCCGAACTGGTCAGAGGAGGACTACCGAAAGGGGATTCCCCTCCCCCGGGATGCCAACCAAAAGATTCAGGGGCCCTATCAGGACTACTTGCCTCCTTCGTACGCTACGGCAGTGGCCGAGGGAGGCCCAACACCCGTCTAGAGAACGCAGTGAACAGCACGAATTGGCGGAGCAGCCAAAGCGGTTAGTGTCGACATGAGGGCTCTTCGCTTACTGCTTTCAACTATGAGCATATAGTCTTGGTCCAAGACGTCAGTGGTCAATAGGTCTTGCCGTCCATTGCTCTCACACTACATCTCTCTCCCTGCTGCAGCATTACTCTACAATGCACGATCCAATATCGATCACTAGCGTATTGAATCAAGATTACCAATGTACCATAAGCTTAGACGCTGTGTCATTTCTAATAAGATTTTTTATCGGAAGGTTAATTGTTGCAGCCTATAATTGTTTATCGATATGACTTGTTTTAATCAGGTTGGAATGAATGTATAGTGTACTTGAAGTTTTGAAGTCAAAAGGATAATAAGGCACTGTCAAGGGACAATCTTTCAAGAATGTTCATGCCCAAACCGGAATCCACACTTTTAACTAGAATATTTGTTGTCCGGCCACTCTTTCTACCAGGTTTGCTGAGGTCATTCACTTGGATGGAATCCTCTGAAACGTTCCTTTCTTAACCCCCTCCACAAAGAGAAAGGTGTAAGTATGCTTCACTGGGAGAAAAGTGCATCAGCCTGGTAGTGGGATCATTATGCGAGCTGTGTCCACGAGTTTTATGCATAAGCTTGTGGGTTCTACGGAAGTGTGCTGTCAATCTTTCTTCTTGGATTTCAGTTTTTATGATCTGTTTTTTAAGTGATGAGGTTGAAAGTTGTGTATTTATATCAAGCTGTGTCCTTTGACGAAAAAAAAGATGATTTAAATAGTAACTTGACATTTTACAGAGAATGTTAAAAAAAGACTGAAAATTAATTTGAATTCGGCGTTAACTACACTTTTCGGGGAGAGAGTTCTGCTCGGGCAAAGGATGCAACTTCTTGGCAGTGCTACTTTCTTCAAGAAATTTCCCACAATTTTAGCTCTACTTCAAACGCTTGTATTATGGATGTATTATGTACAACCTGGAAGTACTCACGTACCAGGGGGAGGTACTGATATCGCTATGTCTGACCTGACCTTACAATTTTAGTCTTCTTAAAATGGCAGCATCCTGAAACAATTTCTTACTGTGTTAAAACATTTTATCAGTCTTTTCGACAGATACAAGATTTCAATTATGTGGAGGGTGGGGGTCAGACTCCGCCCCCGGGAGTAAAGTAAGTTATTGTGGCCGCATGAGGGCGCTGCCTATATCGCACCTCACATTAATGCGGGCCATTTTCATTTTGGGCGCTCTATTCTCAGTTGACAAAAGTGTGAACTGAGGGGGGGGTCATCCCACCCCATTTTCAATTCAGGGTAGTTGTTATCATTTCGGAATCGTTCTGGACGCCTGTGTTCGACTAATCAAAAAATGCGGCTCGCCACTGTAGCTGCGCATTTGCGAACACGTTGGGAGTATTCAACGTGCATGAAGGTGGTTTGGAGTGAGTGGCACCGGAGGAAAACGTATACATTCGAAGTAACAACGCAATTAATGTACATTCTTGCAATGTAGATGAAGCTGCGACTGTCTGTATCAAAAAAGAGGTCGTGTATGTGGCGGAGCAAACATTCTCCTGAGTGAAAATATCTTTTTCTCCGGATAAACCCACGGTCCCATTTCAATGTGAGGAAGTTTTCTCCGTCCACAAGCAGGAATTTGGAAACCTCATTCGTAATATCAAATTTGTGCGCATGCTGTCCTTGTTTAGCATCCAATTAGGGCACAATAAGTTTCGGGTCTTGTGTCAGAGAGCCGATCAAACTGTAATGTACAAAGGGTCACAATGCAACAATGCAGAACCAAAGTTATTTCGAATTTTCCCGTTTATATGTACATGTTAATCAACGGCAACGTCTTAATTATATCCTCGTGCATGTGGTGGTATGGAGTTACTGATGTCTAAATCAGCTGTTAGTTGAATGAGCTTCATTTCAATTTTATGTGAGTAGTTGTACTCTTTGTATGAGCTACGTTGAGGTGTGCATACTTCTGGCGATTTTGTTTTTTTTTTTGCTTGCTTCCAACTGGATAAGGTTAAGACTTCGATTTTGAAGCCCCTAGTTACGGATCAATTAAAAGTAAAGCACTTTGTTCTGCACACGGGCTGCGTCATCCTCTGGTAGCTGGAGCAGTTTCGTCTGTAAGATAAGTTAAACAATACCGTGCACGATATGGGGGCCGATGGGTACCCCCCACATGTCCAATCCCTATACACACTTTAACTAGACTATTGTTACCTAACACATCCCCCCCCCAGAAGTCTGTGCAGAATTCCTGAGATTCCGATCAAACAATGACCAACACAAGGGGGGGGGTTCTCCGCCCCATATCTTGCATAATATGAGTTAAAAACACCGGAATGTGGTATGAACGTGTCCTGTTTTTAACCCTCAAATTCTCGGACCCTTTGTTTCCGTGAGCCATAAACCTGCGTGAAATGTAGCGCTGTTGTTACTCCGCGTTGTACTCGAAAAAATTGAACACTTTGTGTGCCGTGCATTGCACATTGTGGATTTATTAGATACTCTATGAAATAAAGGCTTCAATGAACTTGTTTCCAATTTGAAAAAGATTAAGCTTTGGTAAGCGACAGTGCGTCCAAAGCGCCATCTGCCTAGGCCTTACATTATACCAGTCAAGTCTTTCTGAAGAGCTTTCTGAATTCATGCAGACTAGAATATCATAGGCAAAGGGGTTAGATTTTAAAAGTCACTGCTAAAGAATTGTAGTTAGCTGGTAACAGCCTATGCTGTGCTGGAAACGGTTGTAGGCACCGTTAACTGTCACTGTAAAGCTGCCACCGGGAGAAAGTCGTTAACAAAAGTGAAAAAGCAACGTGTGGAATGAACATCGATTTTACTGCTACTTTTGGTGTGTTGTGTAATCTCACCATAGCTTCAGTAGACTGCCGTTTGACTTCGATTTTCAATTTGTTCTTTGTATAAGAATTCGTCCAAGCTTGTGAACAGTGCTTGTGATACTCGTGCATGTTTCAAACAAAATGGACGAAGACACGTTAACTGATAAAAATGTGGTTAAAAACATCCTGGCATTTTTACAGTTTTGTACTATAACCATTATATACACGTAATTCCTAATCAATTATGTAACCCTTGTGTTTAACTTAATATTTCTGTGAATATTGTATTTACCTATACTGATATTCATTGTTATAATGTATAAATTACTATGCATTCTGTATCCGTTACGTACTGTAGATGTTTCAAGACTGTCACGAAAAAAAAACTACACGGTAGGTAGTGGTCATAAAGAGTTACTCGTGTTTCAGTGATACCGCCCCCTTGCGACCCGCTAAGGTACTTTCGGCTTGACGCAGCCCACACCCCCCTCCGGGCAAAAAGGTGGTGAGTGCGAGTCACCACCACATTTCCGTGTTTTTTTTTGGGGGGGGATAATAGTTTTGTTGAATTAAGCTTTAACGTGTCTCATTCGTGAGACGATCTAAGTGGATTAAGAATTATTTCTATCACGCGATTGCGATGTGCGTTTATAACACCGTAAATGTAACATTCACGAGAAAATGGCGATGGCGAGAGAGTGCCCGGTATCTTGATCCAGATACCATGGCTGTGACAACAACAGATACCCTTGTTCGGTCGCTCAAAACTCCCCATAGCACGCAATACATTACCATGGGTTCCTTCACAGCGGTGATACTGATTGCCTGCGTCGGCTCTTGCTCGTACTTCGCAGTTGTACACCCCCACCCTTTTCAAGCATGCATTCACTGTTAATTTATTCATAGATTTTTGAAATATATTTGTCAACATGATTTTCTGCATGCAGAGCGGCTCGTTGTTTTGAAGTGGTACTATACCACGCACAGAGGTCAAACTTTCCGTGGTGATATTGCATTGTGCATCGTTCTACATTTTTAAAAAGGGCCTCCAGTCTTCGAAGTAGTTCTCCTCTTCACAAAGTTTAATGAGCGTCACATTTCCAGGTATTGATCGGTGTTCGCACGAGTTTAGTCGGGGTTATAACGACAAAATGTACGTTATGGCACTTTGGTCCCGATGTCATGTGGTGAACGCTGCGATTTTCAGCACAGGTTTAAATAAGGGATGTGCTTAGCTGGTCTTAAACGTACGTTTAAGACCGGCTTAGGACAATGGACACGATTGAATTCGTTCTCCTGCATCATGAGCGTTTGTTCTCCTGAGCAAAGTCTTAAAGGTTTCCATCCATAAATACCTGTTTATTCAGAGACTCAAAAGAAGTCAACATGTGGTGGATTTGCAACGATTTTGTTCTCAAATTTTACTTAATTAATTTACCGAACACCCAGGTTTTTTTATGGTAAAGGCTATTTCTTTTGAAAGTTGTTCAATAGAATCCCCTTCAATGAAACTGGCGTGCGCGTGGCGCGTCGTACGACTTGTGACCAATCAGACCCGATTAAACTGTCTGGTATCCATGTACCAGCGTGTAATTTACGCAGCAGACCTTATCACTTCTCAGCAGGCACAAATGTGAATACATACATGGTCACGTGACGCGTTTTGACCAATAGGAATAAAGAAAACAGTCCTGGGTATTTAGGAATCCTGTTTTTGCCGGGACATTCCTTGGTTGCCTGCTCATGCATAGTTTGGTTCACTGGCCAAAGATTAATGAAATCTGAAGTCAGATGTCTCCCAGGGATATAAATAGATCATAACGCAACATGTCAAGGGTCACAAGGAAAGCTCTGGGTGGATCCTACGTTTAGATGTAGTCCTACATGTACATGTAGGCTGTTAATGTTGGTGGTCACTTTGAAAACATGCAAGAAAATCCCAAAAATGAGTAGGTAGGGAGCATAATTGTGTTGCATGTAGGCACCAAGCAAAAGATTAAATACATCGTATCAAGCGTACATTAACGGCCGGAAATACCGGAAACTGGAGGATTTTCCTCGGTTTTTGTCACGTGGACATCAGGTAACACCGGACATTTGATTCCACGAAAATTGTCGAAATCATCGGGTCTGGTATCCTGGCCTAGCTCACCTACGCACGAAATGTATACCATTACCATTAAGTGATTTTTAGGTGAGAAACATGAAATAATTCTTTGAGTCATATTGATTCGGTTGCCCTGCTCAAAGAATAATTTTTGCCAAAATTTAAATCAAAGGTCGGGGTTATTCCTTCATTCCCCTTTTCACAATCATACATAGTGTGGTGAATATTCAGCGTGATATTACCAAGTGCTATAAATAAATATAATTACCAGTGTATTATACAGATTTCTGCGTTTTGCATCCTGCCTTTTGTCACTGTGTCAATACTAATACATGTATCACTAAAAAACGGGCCCCAACAACAAAAGGATAGACGTTATACGCTGCGTCTCCATGGTGTCTCAGAGGCTGTTTTTGTTATTTTTAATGTAGTTACAACGATTGCACAACAGGTCTACTCAAGCCTATCCCGGTGATGCAAAGCTCTTGCGCTCTTAGGACGCGTTAACACATGACCTATATATAGAACAAGCAGCTAACACCAAGAAGTGCAAGGAGGGAAATTAAAACAATGTGACAAGATCCCCCAAATCCCCTTTATCACCAGAAGGACATTCACCTTTAGTTAAGGCTCTAAACTTTCTTGGCCCACCAAACTGTAATCGGCCTATTGCTTCGTTTTTTTTATTTTCCAGTAAAATTGTTCTGGGATAATTCGGCCGCTTTACTTGAGATAGGCCGTGAGGGCGTTGCTAATGATGACTGGTGACGAAAATAATTTTTGTTACCAGTCCTGATTCGCAACGCCCTCATGAGTCTATACCTTTAAAGGGTATCCAAATTTAACGGACGCGGTTGCCTGCGCAACAAATCAATCTTTCACAGCGCAGCTGGTCAAACACGTCGATCAGATGGACTATGTAAAACATAAAAATATACCTGTACAAAATCATAATTAATGTGGCTTGTATATTTCTCGTAGAAAAGCAGATGTGAAAACGTGGTCCGAGAAATGCTGTATCGAAACCCATGTGTTTAACAGCATCAAAATTTATAACGTTGGCCTGTTTCTTTTGTGAAAAATTTTGCATCAAGGAGGAAAGTACAAGCATTTTAGTTTTAGTCCAAACCAATAAGGCCCCATTATTTTGTAACTTGGGGTAAATAATGTCATGCCGGCGCCTGTCGTCGGACACAAATTGCGATGACACCTGCGATAAAAGTGCATCTAATTCATGTCTAATTGTGCCATCAAGTCCTGGATAAGAGACTTCTTGCCGCAGACTTTTGTGTACATAACCGGTGCGGAAGGAGAGAGAGACTGGCAGACACTCAATGTCCCGGCCCTCGAGGACGGCGTGGGAGTACAGAACGGAGCCAATATCAAGGGGGAGGTCAGTGTGTGTACCGTGTGTCTGGTGAATCGACATAAAATGCGCGGGCGAGGGGGGGAATGCGCAGAATACTAAATCAGCAGCTCGCCCCGTGATCAGGTCCCCGGTTCGAAGTGAGTATCTGCCTGCCGAGAAAATCTGCTCTGTTTTCCCCTCTGTCGTTCTGCCCGGGGAGCCATACGAGGAAGCGACGTGCTCAAGGCGACGTGCCTCGGCAGCTACAACTGTTTTACAAGCACGGAGTTTACCTCTCTGCGACCGATAGTGTCACAGCTGAATGCACGACGTGACGCGCGTGCTTTTGATATCTCTGTATTGTTCGGTCGGTGCATCGCTTGCCGATTCCAGTTGGTCACGCGCAAGATCGCGGTCGATCAAAAACAAGAGCTGCGAGCGGGCTGCATCAGCATTTGGGCCTGCCGTCCCCGATGAGGGTTTTTGGAGAAGAAAGTGATGCGTCGACGAACTAAATTTTTACCACAGGTGATGTGGAGATACTGAAATTATAGCATGAAGGACATCGATAGCATTGTCGAGTCTGCAGCAGCATATTTCTACAGCTCGGCCGGCCATAACATGGCCAACGATACCGAGGACAACGTCGATTTGTCAGCTGGGGAGATCGTCTCTGTCTTGGGGATGATTCTAGTGGATGTTGTTGCCGTGGTCGGTAATCTCCTGGTAATCACCATCATTGCCAAGACGCCACAACTCCGTAATCTCACCCACGGCTTCGTACTAAACCTTTGCATTTTGGACCTGCTGTGCGCTTTCGTCGTGATGCCCATATCTATCTTATCCACCATAACCGTCAATTGGAGACTAGGGGACGCTTACTGCAAAGCCAACGGGTTCTTCAATGCATTTTTTGCCTTCTCCTCGATTCTGACGCTGTCCTTTATCAGTGTGGAAAGGTACTATTCCATCGCCAGCCCCATGGATCACGCGGCAAATATGACACCCACCAAAGGCGTCATCTTGGTGGTGTACGTCTGGCTGCAAAGTGGCCTGCTCGCCCTGCCGCCTTTAGTGGGACTCAACACTTACGAGTACAACCAACACCGGGGCCACTGCACGTTTGTTTGGGGCCACTCTCCGACTCACGTAGCCTACGTGGTGCTGATTGGCAGCGTGTGCTTCTTGCTACCGGCGACGATTCTCGTCGTAACGTACTGTAACGTTTTCCGAGTGGCCCGCCAGGCGGCCCGCCAAGTAAAGCCAAGTTACACGTTCGGCAGCTACGGCGCAACAGCTTCACGGGGTAACGCCGGAATAGGAGCTAGCTCGACCGTATCCAGCATGGTGTCGGGCACCTGCTTGCCGAACGGCACCTCTAGCTCCCCTAGAACCGGCAGTCAAGCACATAGTTCGTCTGACGAGCAGGACAGCTACCAGAGAAGGCCGCCTCAGGTCCAGAACTACGTTGGCAAGAAAAGGCTCTTCTCCCCTAAATCTTTCTTCAATATCACCAGCAGCGACCTGAAAGCCGCCAAGACGATCCTGTTCATTGTGTTGACATTCCTCATTCTGTGGACCCCCTATTTTGCGCTGCACCTCTACGGTGTGTTTGCGGGCCACCAGAGAGGCAACACCCCGGTGTGGGAACGACTGACGACCTGGGTTGCCTACTCCTCGTCGGCCGTCAACCCGATCATTTATGGCGTGCTAAACCGCCAGATTCGGCAAGAGATGGCGGACATATTCCAGAGACTGTGGAACCGTTTTAAGTGCTACCGGCAGCCCGAGGCGGCTCTGGACGACGCGATGGACCCTGGAGGGGCTGAAGACTTCTTCCAGTTCTTGGAGCGGACTAGCATGTTCACCAAGTCCACCTCTGTCACCTCGGGCCTAAACACCAAGGCAGAGAACGGTAAAGACGAAACCGTCCGGATACCTGGGCAGATTCCAGAAATATCGGAAGGTGATCCCACTCAGTAAACCAGGCCGTGGTATGGGAAAGCCATAACCCCCCCCAAAAAAAACACGAAAATCTTACCTTATTCTGAAATTGTCTTCAACTTAAAGAGGATGGTTGCCCGACTCGTTGTTTACCTGTTTCACAAATAGGCAAATTCACCCAACTGTCCACCACACAACTCAGCAAAGATGTTAAAAACGCAACTCTTGACGCTGGAGTCCCTCCTCCCCGTTGAAAAAAATCGTGACACAGCCGGCATTGAACCATTGTCGCTTAAACTTTTATTGTCGTAACCACACCGGCCAGACCAGTTGGTTCAAACGGTCAGTGCATGGTAAGTTTGGACGTAGTATAGCTGAAAGTCCTTTGTCCATTAAGTAAAGCGCACACCTTTATGCACACCAGTACTGGCCTAAGGCACCATACCAAGCACGCACCCACCTTTAATATACACAGCCACATCACATTTTCAGCACTGCCATTAAAACGTTTAACATGATCTGATAACATTGAATTTCGAATGCAAAGAATTTAATCACCATACAAAGTTTATCAGTTCTTGTTATAAACGAGTCAGTGAATCGCTCTCCTAGAATGTTAATAGAACTCGTTCATTTCGGTTTTCAGATGAAAATGAGTCAAACCTGGGTCACAGATTGTCAGAAAACTGTTAAGAAACTCATTGGCATATTGTTCATGAGAAGATCCTATTTCAGCTTGAAAGCAGGCGCGTGACTTGCGAGAGTTTTACTTGCTCTTGGCGAAACGGAATTTTTGTCCCTTTTAATGCATTTTCATGTCCCAATTTTGCTTTTTGAAATCCCTGTCCAATTGCAATCTACAATTTTTCACCCTTCCGGTCAAAAGCATCTTCTTGAGAGCTACAATTTGACTTTTACCCACCTTCTACAGATCTATTCTGCTAGTTTGAAAATGATCCTTCCCAACCAGTTTTTAACGTGATCGTTGCCCAACTTCATTTTCCAGGATAAATCCTAATCCTAAATCCTCCAGAAATCCCCATGGTAATATCCCCCAGTCTTTTTAGCAACCTTGAAATTCCTACATAGGCTAATATCGAAACTCAGATTCTGAAGGAGTGTTGAAATTTCCATAAAAATGTTCAAGTTGCGTTTTCTCAATAAATCAACACGACCGCGAGCTATGAAGAGACATCTAAGACGAGTAATTGTGTCGTAACTGACGCAGGGGGCGATCCAGGGAGCCAACAGGGGCCATGCCCAACGTAAAACAGGCGTCTTTTGAAAAAGTATAAAAGAAAGGCATTTTTTCATTCCCTTCTTTCAAGAAACGAGTAAAAAGCCACAGAATGTAGCCCCATTCCCAGAAAGGTCATCAGAAAAGGTTGAATGAAAATAAATCAAATTTTTTTGCCCTCCCCCCACAAAAAGACGTTTACCCCCCCCAAAAATGGCTTCTAGATCCGCCATGCATTAAATTAAGATACGGTTGGTGCGTGAAAACCCGTCCTGTCACTGGCTGTCGTTATCCAGGGTGTACAAGTCCTGGCGAAGTAGTTAATTGCGAATGATTTAACGTTTAGCATCCTCCTTTTAGATACCTAATATTATTCAGACTATCAATCAAATGTCATTTATGGCTGGGCTTATGACGATGCACGCTAATCCATATTAAATGGAAGTTGAGAATCATTTTTAAAAAAATGGTAGCGTACTTTTCAGAATGGGAAGTAACAATGTAACATTCGGTTCCGACTGACGTGCACCAGAGTCACGAGGGAACCAAATCATTCCTGAGATTTGAATCAAGTACATTAAGAAGGTTCGACGCAGAAACAGGGGCGACCGCCTTCCCAAGAGGTGGAGAAATCGATTGCTGCAGTCGCTCGGAAAGACGACAGAACGCTTTCGTTGCAGACGCAGCTCTCTTTCTTGTGCTGAACTCAGTGCCAATTTATGTAAATGTAAGACAAGAAGGAAATTTGACCTCGAGAGTCCCACATTTCCACCGGCATCCGTGCTGTGAGGGATTATGTGGCAAACAATCGTGAATATAGCCCCTGTGAATCATGCAAGGATGTAAATTGAGTCTTGACATACTGATATATTGACAGAAATGGACTGACACATAAGTGGCTTGTAGGCAGTCACTTTGATCCAAAAGGTAAAGTTCACGATACATCTTCATACAGCCCGTCCTTTTTATTCTTTGTCACAAAGAATTATTGCGTTTCATCAGAATGGACAAAATTTTGCCTGTCAGTCAAATGATGTTTACAAATTTTGGAATGAGTGATGACGTAAGGAGAAGTGGCATGGATACGTTTGTCTAAAATTAAAATCAATTTGGACTGACTCAGTCGCCTTTAATACCATTGGTTCCGCGGTACTCTGAGTACGCCGGTCTGTAGTGTGTGTGAGACGTGTTTATAAGGATTCCTGATGAGTATCGAATGTAATCTACTCCTAATTAATAATCTAATTCGACGCTATCAACCTCCGGGGCCAATTTGATAGAGCTGCGGTCACAAACGTACGATAAGCACTGAAAATATTTTTTTCCTTTTTTTTTTGCGAAAACAGACATATGCTAGTGTGTCATGGTCATTCAATCTATTTTTTGTAACTGGCCCCCAGACTGGCTTTTGCTCTGGAAAAGAAGACTTGTGCAACATTTTCTGCTCGGCAGCTCTATTGAATTGCGCCCGTGCAGAAGAAAGTTAAATGGCTCTCTGAAAGGCCTTTCACGCGGTAGTAAATGGTCAGAATAAGCTGAATATTTAGGTCCATATCTCACCTATTATCTCGTCAAATTTACTGAAGAAGAAAATGTAACCGACTGTAGATGTAAATATGTTATATTTATTGAATATTTCAATCGATCGAAAACTGCCAAACCAAATAAATGCAAGTTTAACAATGCTGTAGATAATCATCCACCTCATCTCCCTGTGTGTTGAATGATTGTTTGTTTCGTGTGCAGCCATTGGACTGGAGGAACTATTGGAGAAGCTGAACATTACGCCGGCCCTGACTGGCGAGAATTTGGATGACAAATCTCCAGTGGTCGCATTTCAAATGCAAGCTGGCCAACAACACACGATTTAGCCTGTTAAATCGATACCATCGGGACATACTTCGATTGATCTTCTGAGGAAAACGATCGTTCAAGGGCTAAATCGGTCGCGAACCAGTTTTGACTGGTAACCCCGCAGTGTGCAGCGCACATGCGTCTTCCAGAGACGAGTGTCTGCGTCGTGGCTGTGAGTATACTTCTTGAGCTGAGATGCGCTTGTGGTAATCTGGCGTGCGAATCTTCATTTAACACATAAATCGGCCCAGTGTCCATAGGCTGAGTTGGTGCGTAATTAAGCTTAGTTCTATCAATACAAACGAGGCCACATGTTCAAACTGAACTTGAAATCAATAATATTTTTTCTACGAGCTCTCATCCAGGGGCGTCTTAGAGTGGTCGGGAGTCTGAAAGGACATTGGAACTGCTTTTTTTTTTGGATACCCTCATTATGCTGAGCAGGCGTACATAAGATAAGAGCGTGTAGCGACAATGGTACCGTTTCTTTTACTTGAAGGCCAAAAGACACAGTCCCGATTCAATTGCTGGTTGGAGCACTGCTTGCGCAGTATAGTGAAATGCGAATTAAAATGAAGTCAATGAAGGACCGAAACCCAGCATTAATCCTGCATGTCTCCGACGGAAGCTTCCGTCAAAGCCCGAGCGAAGTCGAGTGTTGGTATCGTCTGGCGTTTTGGCTGAGCCTCGATATTCGGTACAAACGCGCGCGATGAAGACAAATCTACACAGTTGTGCATAGTACGCTGCTACATTTGTCACTGACATCGATGCATTGTCTGATGCTGGTATTTTTATGACATGCATACGTCTGCAAGAATGTTGGGGAAGGGGCTCAATTGTTTCACTGTAAACCTTTCTTGTTAATTGCATTTTTGGACTGCAATGTGGCTGATGAAAACCCGTGAATTTTTAACGAAGAAAAAGTCAGACAAGTGAAATTAATTCATCAATTATAGATGCTATCATTGTGTTTCCGGTAAGGAGGCTATTTTTAGCCTGCGCCCCATTAAATCGCTTTAAATTGCCACTTTGAGCGTAGAACACGCAATAAAGGTAATAAGTGTTCGTGCTGTTTATGATTAGTGGAGGGAAATTTGCGGCATAACCGACCGATAATGCTCATTAATCATCGCCAGAATCGTCATTTAGAGCAATTTAACTGGTCACGTCTGCGATGAGCTGTTTGCGAAACGTTCGTCAAGTACAGTTGCTGAACAGCAGATTCGGTGTGTAGGATTTAAAATGCATGAAGCCTAAGGGGGCGCACCTTTGTGCGCCAAATAGCAAGACAACTGCAAAAGAATGGGCATTTGCAACCAAACAAAAGACCCTTTGACAAGAGGAAAATTGAATCCCGAGTGTTCTACGTGCTTTCATTTGCAGTGCTCCTCCGAATCGATGAAAGGGCCATTCCAACGAATTCACGATAGGCCTACTTCAGGGAATGTACTTCTTTGCATATTTTATTATATTCTCCTAAATTAAAAGTGCACGGACATCAAAAGTACACATTCGAAGACTTTTGCTTCTACTCTGAAAGGAACCAGGAAATAGAGTATTTTTATAAATTTTACTAAAAACCCTAGAAATTGCATCTTTGCGATTCAATTAACCTGATTTTAATTTTTTTGTTTTGCAATTTTAACCCATATTTTGATGTTTTTTTGTTTTATGCTAATACTATTCGCATATTCATGAGCAGAACTATGAAGTCATCAAGGCACTGAATCTCAATGTTGCACTGATTTGTGCACAGAAAAAGTCTAGATTTTTTTAACCGCTGCTATAGCAGATTTTATTTTCTTTGGCAATTTATTGCTGTGTACATATATGGCAAAAATCCTGAAAAAATCTCTCACAAAAATGTTCCCAGATAACAAATTTGGAATTCACAATTTGAACATGAAAACATGCAATCTGAACCATGTCTTCCTAGATTTACATCAAATCAAAAGCGCCCTCACTTGTTCAGAAATGCTTGGTCAATTCTTAATGTTTGAAAAAGTGCACCGTTCAATTCACGTAACTCAAAACAGATGTCAAACAGTCTTTATACATGGAAGAAGAGTGCAGAGATACACAAAAAATGACTCTAAACATTCATTTCCTGGTTCCTTTAAAGAGTTCACCACATTCTACAGACCTGCATCCCGTGAGGGTTCAACCTGATTGATATTCAGCGGAATAAATAAATAAGAGTAAAAAATAAATTCCAAATGCATGGAATCTGAATCTAAGATTTGTTTTCCGGGGGGGGGACACTGAGCAGCAACCTGGCAGGGTATCAAGGCCAGAGGGGTCGATTCCAAAGTATTTTCAAGCAAATGGTTCATTGATTTTATCTCTCTTTCCTGTTACTTTCACCTTTTCTTTTCTCACATTTTTAAAATTTTTCAATTTTTCTGGTTCCCTCGTGCACTTTCTCTTCCGCAATGCCCTTGTCCAGATGAAAATATCTAACAAACTAAAATTACAAAAGAAAGGTATTTTACTAGAAAAAAGAATAAAGCTACATCACTCCAAAGCCTTATTCAAAGGCATTTATACACGACTGTTATATACATATACTTTCATTACGGTCTATGCCGTGTTTGCTCGATAAGGAGCTGATGTCGACATTGTGTGTTTGATTATTGCGTGGGTTTAGAATCAAATTTAACTGAAAAAGCTACGTTGCTTTAAGCTCCATTCCAACGTCGTGCCGCGCCGTTATCTTACCAGCTGTTTACCCAACCTATATTTATATTATATTTTTGGGAGCATTCTGTCACTATTGAGTTTCACTTAATTTTGTCTTATATTAACTAGGAAATGATTCACAGAATAAAACTGGATAAATAAAAGAATAAATTGTAGAGAGCTTATGCAGTCTGCCGACCGGAATGACAAAGTGGCCTTGTGCATGTACTACACGGTAATCTAAAACTTGAATTCGGGTGTATGTTGAAGTTTCTATTCAGGTTAAATCTTTCCTATAGGGACAAAATTTGTTCGGCAAAACAGGAAAAATAATGTTGAAAGAAGATTCTGAGCCGCGCGGTACCGAAATGATGTCAGTCAACCAAAGGAAGAATTCAAATACTTATTATTTGTTTACAGCCTCTTAACTCATTGGGATAGTCGTTTCTCCACACAATTGGAGTCTCCTCCAGCGTCGCGTCGGTCAATATATCAGCTGCCTTCACTTTGAGACAAATTTCCTTTCAACTATCGGTCAAATGTCACCCAAAGTTACCAGCAACCTCGAGACAACCTCGCGCAAAAATTTGCCAAACACACCTTGCAACACTTTCTAAACCACCTTTTTAATAGAGTATTTTCCCTGATACCGTGTGGGAATGGCACAGGCACATGAAGTGGTTGATAAATTGACATCAGTGCAGTATATTTAACAACGCTGTAAGAAGATGACAATCATTACCTTAATTAGATCTAATGTAATGAGATAGCTGTCATGACGCAGTAGCACACTGACTTCGTGCGCTGAGTACACAAAGCGACCTTTAGTTACAGAATCCATGTACGCAGACTGGAAAATGCTACTTTTTCTGAAACGCGGCGACCAGCGTATTGTTTTTGGAAACCACAATTCTATGTCGCCTGAAAGCTATATCCTCCCCAAAACAGCTTGTCAGCATCGATTTTCTGCCTCTGAAGTCATTCCACGGTTGTCAGATGAAGACAGAATACATTAAGTTCAACTGCCTGTCGCGCGCTCTCGTCTGTAATGGCGCGTATACTTTTCAATTGGCAGACTTCAAGTGTTTTCGCAAAGGGCTGCCAGTTCGACTGTTTACGGCTGATACCGGAGGCTATTCGCCAACCTCAACCCTCCCCCCCGCGAGCTTTGGTGATGTTTTGTCGTGTCCACCAGGGCCATTCAGTTCTTGGGTTCTCGACAATCATGGCGGACGTGGGAGTAGACCGCCGACCTCTTCATCCAAAGTGCTGATTCTTGAGGAAAATACTTAACCGACATTTTAGCGTGTACATATTTCCAAGTTCGGTCAAATCGATCGCACTTTGACATGCTGGCTAAGGTAGACTTCAACGAGATACAAGTAATAAGCCTTTTGCGAGTTACATTTAAAAAAAAACTTGTACACTGATTTCTTTAAATTCACGTGAACATAACGATTGGAATTCTCCATACTAAAGCCACTGTTGCTATACCTCGTGATTTGGGGCAAGCTTTCCCTTAGTTACATAAGAGACGCCTTGCAACAATACACTGTTCTCAATGGAAAAGAAGGGCACAAAGGAACCAGTCCATTCCAGAGATGGTGGTCGCTAAGCAAAAGCTTGCCCCGAATCACGAGGTAAAGCAACAGTGTCTTTAGTCTGGGGAATTCAAATTGTTACATTTATGTGCAATCAGATAACTCTGTGTACCAGATTTTATTCAAATTTAACTCTCAATTGACTTATTCAAGGCACTATTCCATCGCGTGAGCATCCCCAGATTTGACTTCTAGTCATTTGGATAAACAAGTCTTGCGTATGGGCACCAACTAAATTGACGAGAACTTCTTGCAGGGTTTCTACAACAAAGAGCCCGAAATAAAAAGTCGGAATAGAATTCACCACGCTCCACGTTGCGTGCCACAATTCATCTTCTGTTTTGATTGGAGAGAAAAAAGGTCCAATGGTAGAGCCTGGTCACCATCATCCCACGCGGGCACACATTTTCCGTGTTAATCAAAATCAAACTGACAACGCTCTTTTTTCTTTTCCGGGTAACTCATTTATTTCTCTTTCTTCAGTTCACATTCACAGAACACAAGATACACTAGATTTGCTCTGAACATTATTAAAAGTAGATATGGAAAAGTAATCACAAAAAGTTTGTGTCGCGGTAACCTCACTCTTGGAAAAGTCTAGAGTATAAGTCCCACTTTGAACTAAATCTTCGATTATCACTGTTTGCAATAGATAAATGTTTTTCACAGAGATGGTACAGCCTAACCTCCTTTTTAAAAACTATGATAGAGGGGAGCCTATTGTTCATCTTCGCTTTATAGATATGGAATCTAGCACATAGAAGTATTAAGTATTACATATAATGTAACATTAATATTACCAAATAGCATGCATAGTCTGATTGTCCAAGTGCAAACTTATACATGTTTTCTCCTTAATCAACGAAACTACAGAGGACCAGAAGTTTCCTGAATAAGTACAGCTACGGAAAAGATGAATTAGGCATTCTTCCCCAGTTTTACAAAAAGTGCAGGTGTTGGAACCAGCCTTGTATGTGTTGGACCTACGCTCTTTTATACATGGCATATTGCACATGATCGAGAATCGTAACCTCTAAATTAGCATTCGTTCGTGTCGTCGTCTCCCGTACTCCGGTTGAAGTTTTCTTAACAACGATGCCAATCGAAGTTTCTCTTATTGCCTGTACCGTTGGCAAAGTTTACAGAAAGTTCACTCTTGATTGCTACCGGGTTTGGCTTCAAAATACATGTACATTTGCCCCATAAGTGTCAAAGTGTTTTACTATTTGATGTGGTGATATATAGCTGTGTGACATGTGACTTCGTGAATTATTCGTTCACCTTTGTACTGATGGCCAGTCATGGGCAAGTTCAATACTGGCGTTTCACAATAGTGCGCCACCAAGAGATTGCAACGCGTTGACCAATCACAAATGCGCAAATTAGTCGACCCAATGCGCGTTCGGAAAGGGTCGACAAATTTTGCGCGCTGCGGTGGCGCACTATTGTGAATCGCCCCTATTGGCGACCGTTTGTCAACCACTGGTCGGTTTTACCTGGTGTCCGTTGAAGGCTACCAGTCCGAATTGACCATTAGTTGACAAAATGATCCGTCGTCGAACTTGCTCCTGGTTTGCCAACCGCTGGTGGGCGAAACTACGACGGTGACACTGCAAGGGAAATTAATACTTGCGTGCTACTTCTTTACACCCTGGGTCGATCTGCATCACAAGACAGAGAGCAGCAATCATCGGGGGACAGAATCCGCAGGGAGATCGACTCGTGGCGAGCAGCGTCCCGGGGGGACAGGACCACGCCACAATGACTGCAACGGCAGACAGGCTACATTCTGTGAACCTGGCTTGGTGACCTGCTGGGCGTAGGCGAATAGAATTGGAGCGGGCTCTCTCCTCATCACTAGCGCGCGGTACAAGGCCGTGGAGAAAACACATTATTTCGAAGAACAAATTGACCGCTGATTGGAAATAAATATCTAATGGCTCTTGGAGATGTTTTGGACGCCAGGGGCACTTGTTTTTGTGATGGTCTTTTTTTCAGTCGAACACCGCGACTATGTTTGTTAATTACCGACAATTGATAGTTTTGCGAGCTTTCAAAAGTACTGATATTTCTACTTTTGGGTAGAATATATGAAATGACCCGTCTTTAATTCAGATTTCTTATTGGTCACAATGAGGTTAATCATTAATTTGCTTATTGCCATTCCAGTCCGTTTACCAAAAAAAACCCCCGACTTTGCCTCGCTTTCGACGTGGCTTTCGACGGGTTCGATTCCTGACTCGGTCCACGTGTGGATAGGGTTTTCAGTCCCTACCTGATTCCGTGGGTTTTACCTCGAATATTCCCCTAAACCCACCTCTAAAACGGTTACTGTTTCTCGTGCTAGTCTCCTCTCTCCAGATGTGAGTCATTTGGAGGCTGCCTATGAGGCACTCTTGTATGCCTTCGACTCTCATTGTAAGTAAGTAGCGGCTGGATGAATTTCACATAGATGTATGCGTTGCAGCAGTAGCCGAAGCCGTGTTTGGAACGGCCTTCTATACGGCTATCAATTTTCAGCGTGTCTCCGCGTATTTCTAATGGAGATTTAGACCTAGCCATAGACAATAGATTCAGATACAACGTAGGTCTTAATTCAGACGAGGCCTCTTTGACGCGAAGTTGTAACGGAAACTGGAGCATCGGAGAGTAACTACAGGTCTTCACGTATATTATGTACACGCATAGATTCTGTGCGCAGTGGCTCAGTGCGAAAAGGTTGAATTTAATTGAGACCGGTTCATCAGAAGGCAACCACGAAAAGTGAGGCAAACTTGGACGTCATGCCACTGCTACGCTGCAACAAATTTCGCTTGAGTTCAAAATGTGCTCAATTTTTGCGAATTCGAAGCCTGAAAATTTAACCTGACGTCGCAAAATTGCGTTCGTGTTTGCTTTCTTGCCTCGTATATAAACCGGCTTTCGGCTTACCAGTTTACTTTGACACTAATGTGATGTTTTCAAGCTGTGAGAGAATTATAAGAAATTCCTTTTGATAGAGAATGCAGCAAACAAAGTGGATTTTAGAGAAGAAACCTCTTTGATAACACCCCAACGTGAGATAGTCAATGAGCAAACAAGGTGACAACTGGAGGCGAATTATCTGTCTGGCCGACGGCTAACTGTCGACTCGAATAACCCTCAGTTGCGCTCATCAGATACCTCTGCTGGGGGGACACGAGACGATGAGAAAAGGCAAAATGTGGAGGCGTTTGGGGAGTTCATACTGAATTCTAGGAGGTGTGAATGAGGAGGAATTATTTGACAGACAGAAGTGCGAGGGTCGGCAACGTGAGACATTGAGGCTTCGTGCCGGCGCGCGGCCGTGAAGGGGCCTCGTGTAGGTCGAGTTCCGGCCCGCTGCATGAGTAAAACGAACAATCAACGGCGCTGGCATTAGCAGAAAGATTGAGGTGGCTAGTCACATCTCCAGACAGGGGCGACCCTTATTCCGTTCATATTACATTCTGTTTTAATTCTTTTAATATATGTTTTCTTAATCCATTTTGGTTATCGGTGGTTGGGCGGGTGGAGGTGTGGTAACATCGCTCCACGGACGCTGCATTTTGTTCAGTCAGGCCAATTGGGGTCTGTCATGGAAGCGATAATGGTGAGATTTATCCAGGTGATGGGATAAATGTTTGGAACCGTCTGAAATCTACGTGTGGGCGTCTACTCGGGGCAAGGTGGGGATGGCGTTCGTCGTTAACATGGGCGACCGTGCGACTAATGTAATTGCAAAGTTTAAGATGTGACTGATCTGATGTGGGCTATGATGTAAAGAGGCTTTGCGTGGTAGCCATCTTGCATGGCAGTTCTTTTGCTCCACAGGGAAACCTCTTTTGTGTATTCCCTGTGGAAGGAAACCACTGGAAGTACCAGAGTTACCAATGAACAGTCTGGTTAGTGGTCCCATGCCTTATGGTTTGGACGGTTGGGTGGTGACTGGTCAATTATATGTTAATCATGTACAATGTCCAACATTCGAGGGTTACATGCGTTTTTATCGCCCGTTCACTTGATCGTTTTAGGCCAATGAAAATACAGGTTTTACTGACGGCGTGACGCCTTGATCTGTGAGATGATTCCGTCCATTGCTCAGCGTTGACTATCTACGCACATCAGCATGAACATAAAAGCTGGACTCCCGGCCCAAGCCGTTAATTAAGTAACTCTTCGGCTGAGTGCACAACTATTTTTTTCAATTCACGTGCACAGTGCATGCTTATGACGACATTTGACGCAAACTATGGGACAGAAGCTGTGCTGGTCATTGTTATACTGGGATCTCAGGAATTCTTTTCAGACATCGGGGGGGGGGATGTGTTAGTAACATTAGGCTGGAGTGTGTATGGGATTGGACATGTTGGAGGGTACCCCTCTGTCCCATTTCGTGCCTGGTATATTTAAAGTCACGCCACAGTCACACACGTACGCAAAGACATGCAGTCTCAGCACCGTCAATGGATCGTAGGGTGCACAAACTGCAGGGTGCATAAGGATTTATGATTATGTGCAAGTGAGCTGCGGAAATATGCTAGTAAGATTCAAGTAAACAAATGCTATCAATATGACTGTACGGAGTTTGGGGCATTTTACACCACTAACAAGCACGTTTATCGAGCGGCTGATGTGGGAACCATTCCCACTGCCTCTTCAAATGAAGACCATGTTTGCAGCTTTGGAGTTACGTGCTTACTCATCAAAATCCCACGGCCACCGAAGGAAATTGTTTCGTTCGGTAAAAACATGCAGTTGGAATATCATCCGGAAAATATTCATAGGTAAGTTTTTGAACGATTAATCTGTTCTGTGTAATTATACATGAATTGTCGTTGGAAAAATTGTTTAATAAGGGAGGAAGAGTTAAAACTTGAGTTTTAACTGAAGGCGAATTGACTAAATGCGAATTTTAATAAGAAAAACACTAAAGAAATAATAAAAATTATATGTTACAATTAATATTTAAACATAAATAAGTAAAATGACGAAAAAAGATGAAATAAAATTTAAAATAAGAAGTATGCATACAAATGAACAAGACACGTCAAAAGGAGTGTTTCACTTTAAGTGAAAATCTGTAATCACAACAGAGATTTTTCCACATCAAATTCATGCAGAGAGAATATTGATTCACAGAACGTGTAAAACGGTGTTGTAAACTCTTATGAGCGTTTCTTAACCCTAACCCCCTAGGGTGTATGTAAAAATCACATTGAAATCGGAGGATTTGGGACTGTTAGGGTTGTGTTTGACTGTTTAACAATTCGCTTTTTCTGCATCTATGAAGTCGATTTTGATCTGTCTATTTTTAAAGAATATACAGTAAACCGTACATTATTAAGAATAATCGACAAATTTCTGAAAAGGGTGACGTCACAAGATCGGTTTAATTACTCCATACTGTCAACCAACATGCACACACTGTGAAAACTCGCAGTTTTAAACAGAGGGCTAGTGGTGTTGACATGCCAAAAACGAGTGAGTTCGAAGTCAAGGAGTGCCTAACGTCTAGTCAAGTTCTAACCAGTCCTCGTAATGAGTCCACTTGCACAAGACACTCCATCTCAAATCAAGTGAAAAGCTATCTAAAAATAACTTTGACAAGGTGTTCCTTTATTTGGTATGAGTTAGCGAAGTCATGACGTCACTCAACGGTCAACTCTGCGCACACCAACGATTGCAGGCTTACCGTATATTATGTGAGGCAATCGTCATTCCACGTCCACGTGAACGGTTTGTTTCACTACATAAAGATCGTTTGCAAGTTTTGTAATTAGCTGTCGTCATTCGGATCACGGAAACAAATACTCTTTTATTTTGAAGTTCCCACAAAATCATGGTGATAATATTCTTCGACACGCTTTGTCGTCTGTCGGTTTGCAGGTCTGTATAGTCAAAATCTCTACATTAGGAGATGTAAATTGCCGTCTACGAGCAAGGAGTTTACACAAATGTACATGTAATGCGTCATTGTAGAGGAAATGACGCCACACTTCGGCAGCGCAGTCAGAGCACTATTCCAGTAGCGCATGCCCAAAATGAAGTACGTCCGAGGTCATTCGGGAGCATCAATACGTACGTGCGAGGACTGCCCCACCACCGCGGCCATACATATGCCGACTCGGCTCGCAAGCTTTCTTCTCGAACCACTTTTCCTTTTTGAAATACTGAACGGGATGATTGCTCATCCCCTAAGCCCGCACTAAGTTGTGATTGACTGTTATTTGGACTCGAAATCACTTGTGATGGACTCGACTACCGTTAATCATCCCACCCCTCCTCCTCAGAGCCTTCCCCCCCTAAGAACATCTCCCCCTAGACCCCCTAACAAGATTTACTTGTCTTCCGATCAATACATAACGTCTGGGTTTTATGCTATTATTCCTCGCCAATAAACTCGCCGCAAAAGAGAGAAAAAAAGATGTAATGAAGTGACGCAATTCTGACGTCAGGAAGAAAAACAATGCGTCAGCTTGCACTTCTCCGTAGTCCTGACGGTGGAATTAGCGGCATCTTCATTCGACGTTTCTTCAGCTTCGGCCCGAGAGGTAGTTGCACTTTCGAAGTATTTTTACTGAGCCACTGTTATCAAGTCAGTAGAAGTACAGAACATGAGGAGGTGCATAAAGAACAGATGTATGGGGCTCTGTCATTGATCTGCGCCGCGCGTAGTGGGTATACACAAAAATAAATGTGATTTGTGCTCCATTTCTCTGACACGAGTTGGACTAAGGAATCAAGTACAGCCTCAGAAGCCGAGGATGTGAATAATCTAACCTAAGAAACTCCGTGGCCAATTTCTCCCTCTAAAAGTGATTCTCACAAAAATATGGAGCTTTCAGATGTCCATGAAGACCCTCTGCGATCGATTTGTTTGTATTTCCCTCGGTAGAAGATAGAGAGAAAGAGAGAGAGACAGACCTGAATGAAATCGATCGTGATTGATGGCCCGTCAAATTTATCTGATTATTCGTCTCTGAAGCCGCATCATCTCCGCGTCAACCTCTTTTTTCCCTTGTCAGACATATGCCGTAGAAAAGCTGTATATTTATCTGTCTCCAGCTCGGACTTTGACCAGCCAGTGGCTCCCGGGCCAGACTAGACACACGGATGCGATATCTGCATGCACGCGTATCACCCGATATCTACAATATGAGCCGAAGGCTCTGCACAAACACTTGCTGTTATTGGACGTGGCTCAGCCCTGTCACTAATAGTGGATTCGGGGCACCCTCGGCTAATGTAGCGAGTAATCCATTATACGACTTTATGCCATGGCACTAGGTTATAATTACATTACGAGGAGGGAAACCGCCACAAGCACTGAACAAAATAATGCTGGGTTTAAGAGGGTTTTTGAAAACGTATTAACGACTGAAGTCTCTGCGAGCTTTACAGTCACTACATGTATTTGTACATTATGTAATGGTACATTTGAGTGTAGAGCAAAACTACGACATTCCTAACAAGCATAATGTATGATGAAAGGGTCGCAGGGGGGTTACAGTCCCCCCCCCCACCCGTTTAAGAGATGTGCCAAGCTGCTCTGCAAAATTTGGAGAAGACAAACTTAAACGAATTTAGCGATGAATGAATCTATGACAAAACGCCCCCAGGAAGTACTGTCCCCGCCCTCCTACTTGCATGTCAGACCCAAGTTATGCCAATATCAAATGTCCTAAACCAGATTTCTCTGACTTTGTATTGTCAGCCCTTGAAACAGAGCAAAACGATGATTTTTAGTAGTGCCTAAATCCATCGCGTGCGTCTGGACGGGGAAAATTGTCGGCACTGCAGAGGACGGCTATCAAGGAGTGGGAGTGCATAGCAATTTCGACATTAACTTCAACTCGTCGGATGTCCCCTTGACAGTGGCGATGTCTGCACACGATATCAATATCCAAACCGAAACCAGGGTGATACCGGGGCTAGATTCACCACTGAGCTCGAAACTGTACAAAGCAGTGAACTGCATACGGCCGTTCAGTTCATTAGACATCATACTTGCGATTCAAACGATAACTCATTGACATTTAAACGAGTGACAGGATGACTGAACTTATTCCAGGACGCTGACATGTTTGTCCGGATGTTTTCAACGGTGAGAGTATGCATAGCTAAGTGGTACTATGTAAAGTTACCCCCCCCCAACTCAAACCTGTACCGTCACCACCAGAGTAGGCCTATGGCTCGCTAAGATGCCTTGAAAATCCACTCGCTGGTACTTTTTATTTCATGTAAAAATAGAAATGACTTTTTGTCTACAGCTTACTTTCAAGTAACCCCATCACCTTTAGCAACAGAAAAGTTGGGCCAGCTGCTCGTTACTACAAAAGGCTGATCGGAGGAGGGGAGGGTTTGGGGGCCACTCCCCCCCCCCGCAAAAACATCCAGGAGCCAAACACTTTTAAATAAAAAAATAGAAAGGTGTTTTTTGCTATCTTTGTTCTCCCCACACTGTCTAAAAAGCCCCAAATTATTGTCTCGCCCCTAGAAAGGCCATAAAAGGTAGCATGAAAACTAATTCAAAAATTATGCCTTCCAAAAAACCCATATTCTGGATCCGCCTTTGTCCCGCAATCAATCAGAATAGAACTGGACACAAAAAACAGCAGGGACAGTCTACCCACCTGTCTTGATCCAAGTGCATTAAAAAAAAAAAGAGCACCACGCGTCGATCAGTGAAGTGCAGTGCCTTGGCGTCGCCTCAAAGGGAAAGCCTTAGCTGGTTCAAAAATGTAAGAAAAACATGGCTGCCTCTGTTTTGTAAAAGAAATGCAATCAAAGCCTTGGAACAGCGCGCTAGATCGCTGGGGAAAATCTGTTGATTAAGCGTCGGTGTGTAAATAAGTTCGAATGCATTATGAGGGAAAAAACAGTGAATTTTTTTTTCTTTCATATGTCACGCCAAACTTGCTGACGCAGCTTGAGAGGTTGTTTTCGATCTTGCGGACATCTCGAGTTGTCTGTCCAAGCAAAACAAGCAGACACACATGACTGATCCACCAGACGGGGGAAAAAAACAAGATTCCATCGTTCCGTACCCCGCTGTTAGAACATTACACGCGCTTCAAATGAAGATGCGTCCCGTCAAATAATGAAGCACCTGAAGGCGAAACCACTCTGCCAGAATATTCATTCGCGTACACCAACCACATACAATCACACATAATATATCGTCGAATAAAGTACCCCTGCAGGTTTTTTTTTACATCAATTACACGTTTTTCGTTTGTGTCACCTGCGTTTGACGCGTTTTACCACCGATTTGACGAAGCTTTTAATAATTCATCAGTTAGAGCACTGAACAAGTGTTCGTGAGTTTAAATGATCGATCGTGACATTACTCCTGTTATTGCCAGAGCCAAGTACCCGATTTTACATTCATAAAGTATCCCCTACATGCATATGTATTTATCAATACCTCTCATTCAAGGCAGCATGTAATTTCATCCTGTGATTCGATATTCATCTTTGAAAATTTGTGTTCACTGGTCAGAAACATAACAGCATGTCTGGAGGAGAATTAACCACTTCACTTTAATGAATTCCATGAATGCAAAAGTACATCTTTAGTCTTGCATCGATAATAAATTCCATAGGAATTTGGCATGTCTGTGCGCTACGGCCAGTCAAGATCTTCTCGGCAAAATGTCCACGTCACGCTGGATCCCGAGACTCAAATGCTTGATGTTCCGGGTTGAGGTGCTGACATTTTCTTTCTCGAAATGACCCCTCAGAAAGACACATTTAGATAAGCCAAGGACAATACGAAGCGCCA